ACACAGAGAGAGAGAGAGAGAAAGAGAGAGACACACACACAGAGAGAGAGAGAAAGAGAGAGAGACACACACACACACAGAAAGAGAGAGACACTCAAACTCAGAGAGATACACACAGAGAGAGACACACACACACACACACAGAGAGAGAGAGAGACACACGCAGACACAGAGAGGCACACACACAAAAAACCGAGAGAGAGAGGCACATACACACCAAGAGACACACACACACATACACAGAGAAAGAGAGACACACACACAAAAAACAGAGAGAGACACACATACACAGAGAGACACACACACACACACGCCCTCTGAGACGACTGCTGTTGTGATTTAAAGCTATACACAAATAAACGTATTGAATTGAGCATGTTTGGAAACACAGAATGGTGGATCTCTCTCTTCAGTGGAAGGAGCAGAGCACAAACCGACTGAACATGGACCGAGTCACGGACGCTACTGAGATTTCAAATACACCAAATACAAAATAGATTCAGAAACATTCGCAAACATTACAGGCCACGTTAAGATCAGATAAGAGAACTTGTGCGTCACTGCAAGGAGGTCCTGGGTTCAATTCCACCTCCAGGCCTTTCTGTGTGGAGTTTGCATGTCATCTCCGTGTCTGCGTAGGTTTCCTCCGGGTGCCTCGGTTTCCCCTACCACTAAAAACATGTACAATAGGTCTGGCACGCACCTCCTGTCATTGTGTTTTTATTATAAATACTGAATCCGTACATTGCCCGGTTCAAACGCCTGGTTCCATCCACGTCTGACAATCCACATATAACACTTACAGTAGATTTTAAATTCCGGTGATTCAGTTTAATAATAGTTGTAATTGTTTCGATGATGATCCAGTGTTGTGTTCTGACAGGCAGCTCAGAACGATGTTAGCGACCCTGAGAGTTCCACAGAAGGGAAGGGGGGACACTCTATTAACAGGAAACTATGATCTAAACTCTGTTCAAAATGGCTGCCTCTCGACTGGGATCTATTTACTTGTTTTACTGGAAAAGTGGCTATTCATCAACAGAACCAAGAAACACAAGGAGTTACTGAGCCAGTGGGAGACGGGAGCTGGCCCTGGATACGTTGTGCCATTTTCTGAAAAAAGTGTTGTAAAACTCTCTGCAGTCGTCTAATGCGTGGCAGATGTGGAGCCGGGAGTGGCAGCCGGAGCGATTCCAGCCGCGTCCACAGACAAAAGAGGAACATACAGCGGCGGCGGCAGCAGATGGATGTGGATTCTTTCTGACAATACAGACAACACCATCGGATAATTTCAACTGAAAACTCACCGAGCCTTGAAGAAACGCAAAAAGCATAGACTGTATACAGATGCTACATGCTAACACAGACTGTATACAGATGCTACATGCTAACACAGACTGTATACAGATGCTACATGCTAACACAGACTGTATACAGATGCTACATGCTAACACAGACTGTATACAGATGGACAATGCTAACATAGACTGTATACAGATGGACAATGCTAACATAGACTGTATACAGAAGAACGATATCAACGATATAAGCCCGATAGGGAAGTGCTCGTGGACGAAGCTTTGCTCCTCCTTGCTCTGACTCCTATTGACTTTGAAAAGTAAACTTGAGATTATCTAAAATCCATCCTCTTTGTAAATTTGGATATGAGCCATAAGGCTTGACCAATCAGATGCCTTCATTCGCAGGGAAACTCCAGTTTCTATGACAATATATTCACAGACAGTGTAATGAGTAAGACTGTTCAACTGTATCCTGGCGAGAACAGGAAGTACAATCACATTAGTCAGTAAAGGGACTGGTCTACCGCTGGGACTCTGAGGAGCACAGGGACTGGCCTCCTGCTGGGACTCTGAGGAGCACAGGGACTGGCCTCCTGCTGGGACTCTGAGGAGCACAGGGACTGGCCTGCTGGGACTATGAGAAGCACAGTGACTGGCCTCCTGCTGGGACTCTGAGGAGCACAGGGACTGGCCTCCTGCTGGGACTCTGAGGAGCACAGGGACTGGCCTCCTGCTGGGACTCTGAGGAGCACAGGGACTGGCCTCCTGCTGGGACTCTGAGGAGCACAGGGACTGGCCTCCTGCTGGGACTCTGATGAGCACAGGGACTGGCCTCCTGCTGGGACTCTGAGGAGCACAGGGACTGGCCTCCTGCTGGGACTCTGAGGAGCACAGGGACTGGACTCCTGCTGGGACTCTGAGGAGCACAGGGACTGGCCTCCTGCTGGGACTCTGAGGAGCACAGGGACTGGCCTCCTGCTGGGACTCTGAGGAGCACAGGGACTGGACTCCTGCTGGGACTCTGAGGAGCACAGGGACTGGCCTCCTGCTGGGACTCTGAGGAGCACAGGGACTAGCCTGTGTTTCAGATTTATGCAGCAAAAATCTGCTAAAAATGTGAGACAGTCTTCTCCTCTGTTTAGCTGTAAATAACTGAAGGATTGTTTTATTTGTATGATTTTTTCAGTATCTTTTCTTTGAGTTGCTTTGTGTGTGAACTGTGCTGTACAAATAAACTTGCTTTATCTCGTCTCGCCAACAGTGACATCTATAGAGTAAAGAGCAGAGGAAATGCAGACCCTGAAGGAGACACCGAGAGAAGGAGATGATGTTATGATGCTGTATTTCTGCTCAATCTAAATTTGCACAAAACTTTCATTACTGCCAATTTGGGCCCAGACCCGTAGGCCGGACCATTAGGTGCAGCCCAGCATCCGTCACTGTAATCTGCCTCTCAGGCCCTTAAATTACAGCGCCCGCTCGGTTATTAAAATTTGTCACCCCGTCTCCCAACACCCGGCCCTGCTGGAGATTGGACGGGGGCCCCCAGACAAATCTGTTCCAGAGCGGAGAGGGAATAAGGAAGGAAGTGCAGGGACAGTAGGAGGGAGGGGGGAATATACTTGGATCATCTGGTTTGATTTATACACTGGTGTAGATCTGCTGTGGGTCTCATACTCACCCCCCCCCCCCCTCCCCCTCCACACACTCTCGCTTTTCTATTGCCGTCACCGTTCCGAACACACACTTGTGCCGGTTTTAGCGCCGCATCCCCTCCGCACACTCAATCAAACCGCCGCCCAGATAAGACGCATGATGAATGGAGTAATCGAAGGCGGCGGCAGGGTAATACCACGTCGTCGGAGTTTGGAAAGGAAGAAAAGTGGCTAGCGGGTGATTAGCCTGTAGAATTTATTGTTATGGCTGGTCTTATTAGAAAATACTAAGACAACGCGTGCCACACAGATCACAGCAATAGCCGCTATATACATGTGTGCCAGGCTTGACGGATGGGTGCATCGTGGGCTAGCACCTGTGTCGAAATGGAACTGGGGGAGTGATTCCAAGTCGGGAATGAGATATACGCTAGACTACAGTGTGGGCTGAGGGAAAATTTGGACGCAAGGAATGCATGGCAAAAGAAAGCTCATTAATTCACACCCGGGAGAGTTCTCTGTCTTGCTGTTTTTACAAAAGCTGCAGCGCCACTTGTCTTGGTTTAGTCGGAGTATCAAAAGTGATTGGAGAGAGAAAGAGCAACGGGCGTGTGGGGATAAGTGTGTGCTGGGAGGTCAGTGGGTGACGCGGAGAAACGAGGCGAATCCACTTCAGGCTGGCGGCCAGATCAAAGGCTTTCTCACACACTTTCACATATCAAAACCCAGAGAAGGCCTTTGACAAGAGCAAGCTGCTGAGAGTATTTATTTTCTCCACACACCACAGGGGCTGGGAGGATCCTGCTGCAGCACACATCGCCGTTCTGTGGACTCAAACCAATAGGTCCTTAACGTGAGGCTCAGAAGGAGAGGATTTCAATTAGGCAGAAGTCAAGGGGGTGTTTTTCTCCCAGTTTCATGGTGTAGACTCACAACAGAAAAGAAATGAGCTCAAGCCTTTTATGCAGCAGAGAAGCAGACTTTCTCAAGCCAGGACACTTTGTTTTAAGGCGGTAATTCAACATCTGTGAGGAATGTCATTTACAGACGGAGCACCAGTGGGGGTACAGAAAAACACACAAACACAAGATCTAAATATAAATACAGTAAAAGAGCAGAAATCAATGTAAAATACATAAAGCAGGTCTCTAAATCAGCTGTTCCAAAGGAGAATGGAGGTGGGGAGGAAGCTGGATGTGGCCCTTTTGCAACAAGTTTTGGAGTTTTTTAAACAAAATCTTAAATAGACATAAACACACAGAGGTTTTATGACTCCGATAATTCTAGAATCACTGCAGAATGAAATGTTTTAACAAAGTATTTTTAATCTAACAGCACAACAGCGTCTCAAAACATCACTGAAGCTTTGGGCGAAACTTTGTAAAAAAAAAGTCCCATATTCACCATATTAACAAATCGATAAAAAAATTAAATCAGTCAGCGATTCCATTAGAGAAATAATCATTAATTACAGCACTGAATTCTTTAAAGCGACCTTTTCTTGTATTTATTTCTGTTATAGATTTCAGTTGTCATCTGGTTCATAGCAAATCTCTGATGTTTCTCTATTCTGTTGGATCATTGTTTCAGTAAAATATGTCATATATAAAGAACAGTTCTGTTTAGCTGCGCAAACAACTGAGGGATTTCATATTTCTATCTTTCTTTTTAATCTATTGTAATTATTTATGGCTTTAATTCCTTGTGGGACTGTTTCTATCTTGTTTTGTTCAGCACTGTATGAGTTGCCTTGTGTATGAATCGTGCTATACACATAAACTTGCCTTGCCTTTTTAATCATTGTAGTATGCCTTCACCAAAACGCTAATACATAGTGGAAATTCATAACAATCAAAATGTCATAAAAGATACAGTTAGGCCTCACGAGCAGGGGAGAACCACTCCAGCACAGTCAGCCAACTGGGGACTAAAACAAAGCCTACTTCGACTTGCTAAAAATAAAGTGGGGGCATAACAGGAGCCTAAAGTTTAATTAGCATCCGACATACAGAGGGGCTTACTGCTGGCACCGTCACAAACAGAGATGTGTGGTGGATGCTTCTGGATGGCTGTGGAGGAGGCTGCGTGTGGGGACCGGAGGAGTGTGTGGGGACCGGAGGAGCGCGTGGGGACCGGAGGAGTGTGTGGGGACCGGAGGAGCGCGTGGGGACCGGAGGAGTGTGTGGGGACCGGAGGAGCGTGTTGTGCTGTTTATAGAAGAGTGTGTACAGTCTACCTCACTCGCTCGCCTCCAGCTCCGCGAAGGTGCTGCTGCTCAGACTGATGGAGTGCCGTGTGCTCCGGCCAACTGGGCTCCCGGCTGCAGGACTGCCCACATCGATTCTTCACGCGAGCACCTCTGCTGCAGCTGGAAAAAAAAAACACGAGAAAGATAGAGAGGGTAAGAGTAAGGCAACTGAAGGGGAGAGAGAGAGGCATTAGCTTAAATGAAAGTTTATTAGCTGTATCAGTCAGAGTGTGAGTAGAGGTTTTGCCCCAGGCTCTCCATCCCTCCTCTATCTATCCTCCCCTAGTGTGTATATGTGTGCATTTGTAAAAGGAAAGGCTGGGTAAGGGGGAGCGAGCATGACGGGAAAACATTAGGTTGTTGGCAAGCCGCCTGTACACCAGCCAGTAATTGGCTTGGGTAATGGTCATGTCCAGACAAATGGTGAAGGCCTTAACCGTGTTACCAACTGCTCCGCCTGCATTCACAGCACACGGCCAGCTCCAAAAACAGAGCAGATGCATGTTGGTGCACACAAAGTGATTTACCGAGGTATTTGCCCCCCCACAATAGCATATTCAGCGTGCTCTGTGTGTGTGTGATGCATGATGTGCTTGCCGTAAAATAAGGAGAATATTCCAAAAACTGGCTTGGTCCCATTCCCCAGGGGACATCTGCCAGCTTCCATCAAAACAACTGACAGATTGACGATGAGGACAGTGAAAATAAAATAAAATAAGAACTACAGAGAAAAAGAGTGTCCCTCCCGCCCCTCAGCTCCTGCCTTCTGTCTGATGGCAAGCTGGGCCACTAATGTCCATTGTGTCTGGGCCGTCAATGGGCTCACACGACCGCATTAAGAAATGATCATTTTATACTTTTCTTTTACGTCCAACTACAACACAATTGACAGCATTATTATTAACTAAATTATTTAACAAGATTATTTATTATTAGTAGAAGTATAGCAACAACACGTGCATTTGAAGCTATTCTACGACGTCAAACGGCAATAACTAGTGGTCGATAGTTTTTGTTTCAAATTATCCAAATCTAATAATTTTTTTTTTTACGAATGTTGGAGATGTATAGCTTTTTTTGTTACATTAATTCACAACATAAAATCCATACACTTTGATGTTAGATCAGCCACACACATTATATCAATAAATAATTTGTATTTGTAACTCAACAGCAGCATGTTATTTATATAGACACGAATAAATAATTCAAACAGGACTTTCCAGGCTGTAAACACACTCAAATATCGCTGTCCACAAATATAGTTAAGTCCAGGACAATACTCTAAACATACGGCCACTGAACTGACCCAGTGCTAACACCAGGATTCCCAGAGATGTCATTTTGACTCCTCCCATTCAAACCAATGGGATTCTTTTCCACCAGCTGATTAAAGGAGCTATACCTGTTTCTGCAAGGTTTGGTTGTTTAGCACCGCCCCCAACTCGCTCACAGGCTTCTCATTTCCCCTACGCTCTCATCCCACGGAGCCATCTAGTTTTATTTGCGATCTATATGCTAACATTAGCATTAGCGCAACTTTAGCTGTACAACAATCACTGATGAAATGGTACAAGAGCAACGCACTGCTAACAAAATATATAACTGAAAGATTACCGCTAGTTCCATATCCAAATGTAGTTTGAGCGTAGATAGTCCGAGCGTAGATGGTCCGAGCGTAGATAGTCCGAGCGTAGATGGTCCGAGCGTAGATAGTCCGAGCGTAGATAGTCCGAGCGTAGATAGTCCGAGCGTAGATAGTCCCAGCGTAGATCGAGCATAGATGGTCCGAGCATAGATCGAGCATAGATGGTCCGAGCGTAGATAGTCCGAGCGTAGATAGTCCGAGCGTAGATAGTCCGAGCGTAGATAGTCCGAGCGTAGATAGTCCGAGCGTAGATGGTCCGAGCGTAGATAGTCCGAGCGTAGATAGTCGAGCGTAGATAGTCCGAGCGTAGATAGTCCGAGCGTAGATAGTACAAGCGTAGATAGTTCGAGCATAGATAGTCCGAGCGTAGATAGTCCGAGCGTAGATAGTTCGAGCATAGATAGTCCGAGTGTAGATAGTACAAGCATAGATAGTCCGAGCATTGATAGTCCGAGCATTGATAGTCCGAGCGTAGATAGTACAAGCATAGATAGTCCGAGCGTAGATAGTCCGAGCATTGATAGTCCGAGCATTGATAGTCCGAGCATTGATAGTCCGAGCGTAGATAGTCCGAGCGTAGATAGTCCGAGCGTAGATAGTACAAGCGTAGATAGTTCGAGCATAGATAGTCCGAGCGTAGATAGTCCGAGCGTAGATAGTTCGAGCATAGATAGTCCGAGTGTAGATAGTACAAGCATAGATAGTCCGAGCATTGATAGTCCGAGCATTGATAGTCCGAGCGTAGATAGTACAAGCATAGATAGTCCGAGCGTAGATAGTCCGAGCATTGATAGTCCGAGCATAGATAGTCCGAGCATGGATAGTCCGAGCATGGATAGTCCGAGCATAGATAGTCCGAGAATGGATAGTCCGAGCATTGATAGTCCGAGCATTGATAGTCCGAGCGTAGATAGTCCGAGCGTAGATAGTCCGAGCGTAGATAGTACAAGCATAGATAGTCCGAGCATTTATAGTCCGAGCATTGATAGTCCGAGCATTGATAGTCCGAGCGTAGATAGTCCGAGCGTAGATAGTACAAGCATAGATAGTCCGAGCGTAGATGGTTCGAGCATAGATAGTCTGAGCGTAGATAGTCCGAGCGTAGATAGTACAAGCGTAGATAGTCTGAGCGTAGATAGTCCGAGCGTAGATAGTCCGAGGTGGTCCCGCAGGTCTCTCCCATAGACCAGTCTCTCCAGAGGATACGATGTAAGCTAGCTCTGTTCAGGGCTTGGTTTCTTCTTTGATCATGTTGTGGCTTTAGTTCCTCTTCTCTTCCTCACTGTTGTGTGGTTTGGGCTGTTTTGCTGTGTCTGCAGTTACAGCCAGAGGAGTTATAGCCACTTATGCTAACATGCTACTGTGTTTAGCAGCGCTGTAGAGGCTAGAGGACGCAGCCTTGTTCTGTGATTGGAGGAGAGCGGGCGTCACGCTAAAGTCTCTACTCACTTTTTACGGCCTGAATTCATACACAACAAAATCATTGAGCTCAAGTTTTACATTAAATTACAGATTATAATACAACTTGTATGTAGTAATAAGCATTTTTATGAACTAATTTAAAAATAAATCGGGTATTGCATCTTTAATCACATTTAATACGTTCTAAGACTGGTTAAAGATACTTGAAATAAAGCCAATAACAGTTGGTTGAAAGGCTAAATGCTACATACAGTGTGTTCCTACGGTAGATGCGGTACACTAGCCAAGTGCTAGTTTATGCTAATTACCACTGGCTTTTTACTCTAGAAAAGGGTCTTTAACTACAATGGAATACAAAATAATGTCTTGTATTACAAAAATCCAAGATAATTTCATGAAAATAATGACATAGAAATAAAACTAAGAGCACTAATGGACATACACTGAATAACTACACTTCCAAAACAAGTGGATAGCACTCTCGCCTCTCAGCAAGAAGGTCCTGGGTTCGAATCCCGGCCGGACCAGGGCCTTTTTGAGTGGAGTTTGCATGTTCTCCCCGTGTCTGCGTAGGTTTCCTCCGGGTACTCCGGTTTCCCCAACCACTAAAAACCTGTACAATAGTTCTGGCATGCTCCTCCTGTACTGGCCCCGCTCCCATCTCTGTGTGGAGTGAGAGACAAATGCCCAAAAATAATAACAATTGTAAACCACTTTGAGACTCTGGTCTGTGAAAGGCGGTCTATAAATAAAGATTACTTACTTAACATGCTCAGGTATATTTGCTGAAGCTGAAGTTACTCCAATAATAACTGTTTATTTTCTCACTGGATTCTGAATCTTAGAGGTTCTTAGCTTTAAAATGATGAAATGATGAATGCAGTGTTGAAGCTGGATAAATGTCAAAGGCTGCTTTACGTTAAGAGTTTGATGTATTCTCCTGATATTGTGCTGTCAATGACAAATACACTTTTATTCTTGATGATCTGCTACAAGCCTGTTACAGTTAATAATATATAGTCCTTAGTTTAGCCGGTGTTGATCCGTCTGCTGTAAACTCTGAATGCATCACATCAACTGCGAGCTTGATCTTATAACTATGTCCGACTGCGTTGTCCTTGACAATGAAGTAAATAAACAAATAAATGAATAAATGCATGAATTAATTGCATTACAATGTGTGAATGTTGTAGATTATTTTTTAAATGATCACGTCTATATCGGCCAAGCTATAAAACCAGAGTCAGGGCAGCTTCTTCCAATGGAAAAAGAGAAGAAATCTGAAAACATTTGTGACATTTTATCCGATTACTGGTTTCTCATGAGACAAAAACGGTAAATTTAACAGACAAACAGATCAATCGGCCCCAACAATAATCTCTCTCGGACAGATCTGTGAGGAAATAGAGCTGATTTGTTTAAAAAACGTGTTGAGTAATTAAACCAGCAGCAAGGCAATAATATCACACCGAGCCCTCAGCGAACAAGAACACCTCTGATTGTAGTTTCTGTTCAAACCCTGCTCCAAAACACAATACAAAAGCAGCTTGTGATGTCTTGTGGCTGCCCCAGAGCCATCCAGCTATCATCTCCTGCCAGACCGGCCCCACCAATGCACCCCAGCTGGATAATGAGATCCATTATGATTTACATGCCACACAGAACAAAGACATGCTCACACAATGTCAGAGAATTCAGGCTCAATCTTCTCACTATACGCTCGTGTTTCACATTTCACTTTGCTGCGATATCTCTCCACATTCGCTCTGAGAGAAATAACAAAAAGCACAGACATGGCTTTTGATTGATCAGTTCATTGACAACAGCGTATACTCGGGTTTGTATTTTCCCTAGGTTTTGACAGAGTGTGATCGGTAAGAAAAACGCTATTTCGTAAAACGTTTCAGTAAAAACGGAAAACTTAGGTGTTTATTTCATTTGTGTGGAAATGTCATGATAAACAGACTCACTTGTGTGTCCAAAATAAACCCAGGAAGCTCCACAAATAACTTGGAGGACCGGGACAAGGCAAGTGTTTGAGACCTGGGCCACAGTAACCTCCTTGACCTGCACGCACACACAATCCTCTGCGGTATGTATTTCCTTCATCAAATGTGATCAGCGCTACTGTCCGCGAGCCAAGACTCACTCAGCCGTGATAACCCCAGTGGAAATGAGGCGCGCACACACACACACACACACACGCACACACACACACACAGACCCGGCTGTTGTAAGACGCAGACAAGATGTGTGGGGTTAAATGAAGAGGGTCAGCAAATTAAATCATCTTCAAAGTGAATGAAGGCTGCATGATGAATGGCTCAACAGCTTATGGGCAAAACAGCCGTCTTAATCACATCTCATTTATCTTGATAATCGGCTCATTCGCATCATGTCGCGCTGTTAATGAGATCTGATTGACAGCTCGTATGATAAATAACTAGAAAGTATTGTATGAAATGTTATAATCCAAATGCTCCCCTCGAACGGTTTTATCTCGTGTGGATCTCGCAAAGAAAGCACAGTTTGTCCTGTGCTATTAGAGCTCTTAAGACCACTGAATGAGAAAAATGCAGCCTCACCTTAGACAGAAAGCAAGAATGTTTTTGTGTTTTCGTTTCATGTCTCAGAAACTAGACTGACAGAGTTCATCCACAGCCGTTTGATTCAAAGAGTGTGTGTGTGTGTGTGTGTGTGTGTGTGTGTGTGTGTGTGTGTGTGTGTGTGTGTGCACTTGTTTTCAACTCCTGGTGGGTTCCATAACCTGAGATTCCACTCACGTCATGGGGACTGGTTTTACGTGGTGGGGCCCGAACACCGGACCCCACTGGTCCAAGCTTAATAATCAATGGGTAATGCTTTTCTAACGGTCCTTATGCAGTCTCTGTAAAAATATGGAAAGGACCCCTGGAGGTTTACTTTCCTGAAAAAAGTGTGTTATGTGTCGGAACCCTGGTGGTGGGTTGCGGGATATCAAGGAGGGGCACACTGGGGCAATTTCAGTCCAGCAGGCTGGAGCCAATCATGGAGCAGCACAACAGAGGAAATCAGGTGTCAGGCTAGAAAAAGGTGCAAGTGTGTGGTTCATTAGGCTGCAAGAAATCATGGAGGAGCACACTGAAGCGCACGCTTACAAACCACTGGTAAGTGCTGACTACAAGTCATGACTTCAAATTGTTATATAGAATGATTACAAATTATTTATTGTTTGTGCAGCTTAGTCAAGAGTCCCTAATTGATGAAGTCGACTCAGATTCTGACGATTTAACTGTCAAGAAGAAACCTGTAAAAAAGTATGGAAAAAGAAAAATCAAAAACACTTTTCTTCAAGACTCGGAAAGTGACGAACCAAAGGCAAATAAGATTGTTATCATGCAGCTGCAAAAGAAGAAAAATGGGGGGCGAGTATACAGCAAGAGACACTTCTGCCTCTACTGTTCAATGTCCTGCCACAAAATGTCCCGTCATTTGACTAGAAAACATGGAAATGAAAGTGACGTAGCCAGAGCATTGGCTCTACCTGTGAAATCTAAAGCACGTAAACTTCAGTTTGATTTGATCAGGAATAGTGGAAACCGTGAGCACAATTTTGAGGTTTTAAAGGCCGGCATTGGAACTTTAGTCCCAGCTAAACAGCCAAATTCCCCAGTTAAATCCAGTGAGTTTTTGCACTGTATAGACTGTGGGGCATTGCTTAAGCGAAAGTCGCTGTGGAGGCATGTGGCCAGGTGCCGGCTTTCACAGAAAGATGCCCAGGCTAAACCAGGTAGAAGTAGGGTCCAGTCCCTCTGCTCCCTAGCCCAGCCTGTACCGGAGGGCATCAGCAAAAAGCTGTGGTCTTTAATTTCGGCAATGCATCAGGATGAGGTCACGGGTGTTGTCAAAGCAGAAAAGGGGATTCTGAGACTCGGAGAGCACCTGTACTTAAAACACGGGCATGATAAGACTAAGCATGATTACATTAGGCAGAAAATGAGAGAAGTCGGTAGGTTAATTAACGAAGCAAAAACCGCAGGGAAACTGAAAACAATTAAGGATTTCTTTATTCCTTCCAACTTTAACCATGTGATTGATGCAGTCAGGTCTGTGGCTGGATATGATGAGGAAACATACCAACTGCGTAGGTTTCCTCCGGGTACTCCGGTTTCCCCTACCACTAAAAATATGTACAATAGTTCTGGCATGCGCCTCCCGTACTGGCGACCCCGCTACCATCTATGTGAGGAGTGAGAGACTAATGCCCAAAAAAATAAATAACAATTGTAAACCGCTTTGAGGCTCTGGTTAGAGTGAAAAGGCGGTATATAAATAAACATTACATTACATTACAAGACTCCATCCTTGGCCCTCAAACTCGGCCATAGCCTCAGAAAGCTAGCAGATATTCTTGAATGTGACTCAAAAATGGAGCATTGTGTTGATGAACTATTTATTAAAAACCTCCAACGAAGCCGGCTGCTTTTTGAGAAGAGGTGGGACGTCTGTGTTTCTTCTGCTGCCCTACAGACCCTCCGGCAAGCCAAGTGGAACACTCCGGACCTGCTCCCTCTGACTGAGGACGTTAGAGCCATGCATGCACATATTGAGGTATGTCGACCTGAATATGTGCAAACCCTAATAAGTGAGCCAACGTCTAAGCATTGGTCTAAACTGGCAGTTTTGACTCTTTGTGAGGTCATCATTTTCAATCGAAGAAGGGAAGGTGAGGTTTCAAAGATGCCACTGACAGCCTTTACCTTAAGAAGTAAGACTGGGATCCATTCTGACATTGCTCTGGGACTGTCCCAACTTGAGAAAAAGCTGTGTCAGCATTTTCAACGCATTGAAATTAAAGGGAAAAGAAGTCGGAAAGTGCCGGTTCTTTTGACTCCTGAAATGATTGCTTCGATGGAGGTGCTGGTGGAGAACAGAAGGGCCTGTTCCATCTCTGACCATAACCCATACTTCTTTTCCCGCCCGGGCGCAGACACCCACATCAGGGGATCAGACTCCCTACGCCAGGTAGCCAAAGAATGTGGTGCGGTGCATCCAGAGATGCTATCCTCAACCAAACTTAGAAAGCACATAGCTACTATGTCTACAGTTCTCAATATGAAAGAGAATGAGATGGACATACTTGCCAACTTCCTCGGCCATGACATTCGCATCCACAGGCAATATTACAGACTACCAGAGGGGGACACTGGAGCTGGCCAAAATCAGCAAAGTGTTGATGGCCATGGAGCAGGGAAGAGTGACGGAATTCGAAGGAAAGAGCCTCGACCAGATACAAATTGAGCCTGAAGGTAATTCTTGATATTATTAAAATATGTATGATTTTTTTCCCCTAAAGGCCACTTGTATTTTTATTTTCTGTGCGACAGGGAGAGCAGTAGAGATCCTCTCACAAACGGACGGGCTAAAAGAAACTTCAAGCGGAGAACCTTCAACCATTCATCCAGATGCACCCCATGGTAGTGGCAGTGCCCCTTCTGGTAAGTGTACCAGGTGGGGGATTACAGCCAGGCTGCTTGGTCCTAACCCTGGGAGTGTATATTGCTAATATATTTTTATTTCTCTCCCTAGAACGTGTAAGAAAGCCATGGTCTGCATCTGAGGTGAAGGCTGTGGAGAAGACCATGACGCCTTTCATACAGACTGGAAAAGTCCCTGGGAAGTCTCACTGCCTGGCCTGCATTAATGCCTCACCAGATGACCTTAGACATCGGACATGGAGTGGCATTAAATTCTATGTCAAAAATAGAATCACTGCAATTCGAAAACAAAATCTAAAATAAAATTCCTTTAAAATAGTTGTTTGGTTTCTATTGACTGTTTTGTATTACTTAAAGTAGTCCCAGTAAAAAAAGATTATGTCTATGGGTCCCATTCTGAACGGCCCTGTCAAAGGGACCCACCAGGTAACAAAAACGTGTGTGTGTGTGTGTGTGTGTGTGTGTGTGTGTGTGTGTGTGTGTGTGTGTGTGTGTGTGTGTGTGTGTGTGTGTGTTATGGGTGGGCCGCTGGAATCAAACTCATGGAGATATTACGCGCTATTGTTTGTGCCTCTTCACACAAATGTTTGCGGTCGTAATAAAATTCTCACGAGTTTAGGGACAATGTGTGGTTAGCGCTCCTCTGAAGTGTGAGGACTTCTGAGCCCAAAGCCCGCTGTTGTGGCCGCTCCCACACTCACAGCCACTTACCCATCAGCCCCAGTGTCAAAACACAAAAACACATGCTGTTACAGGGAACCAACATCGTTCCCTGTAACACAATTACAGGGAACCAACATCGTTCCCTGTAATTGTGCGGCAACAGAACAACCCCACGTCTCAGATCTCACTCGAGCAAAAGCGAACATCAATATTTCCCCAACGAACCCATATCGGGGCAGCCCCACTCGCTTCTCAATCTTGCTAAACCAAACAGCTCTTGCTCTCAGTGGTGCCAGTCCTAATCATTCCCTCAGCTCCAGGTGGTTCTCATTGGCGGCGGCCGGCTCCGCGCTCGGCAGGATGCTTCGCCGGAGGAAATTGGCTCGTCTACAGCATTTACTGCTCATGAGCTGCGTCCAACAGCGAGCGCCCCTCCACCGCGGACTCAGGGCCGTGTGCGGGGCCTGCTTTGTGTTGTGGAAACGGCGGCATTGTCCAAAGACACAGTTACAAACACTTTCTTTTGACGTCTCGCTGTAGCTGTCGTTGGAGTCAGTGTTAATGATGAGGATGAAAGAGAAGTGTGAATCAAACTGAGCGTCTTATTGGTGGAAACAAAGAAGAAGAAGAGGCCTTGGAGAGGTCTCTGGTGATCCTGCTTACATACTGTACGTGTGTGTCTGCATATGTGTATGTGTGAGTGTGAGTGTGTGTGTCTATGTGCGCGTTTGTGTCTGCATGTGTGTGTGCGTATGTGTGTCTGCATGTGTGTGTGCGTATGTGTGTCTACATGTGTGTGAGTGTGTGTGGGTGTGTCTGCATGTGTGTGAGTGTGTGTGCGTATGTGTGTCTACATGTGTGTGCGTATGTGTGTCTGCATATGTGAGTATTTGTCTGTGGAAAATATGATCATATATTTAATCTATTTGAGCATGTATTGATGTATTTCATTTCAAACTTATACAAAATATAACTTTCATTGAGTAGTGCTCACACGTCAGATTTAAACGCTGTGTAACTTCAGGAAGCTGGCGACACACGCTTCCTGAAGTTTAGGCGGCGAAAAGTCCATGCAGCCAGTGTTGTGTTGACCAACCAATCAGAGAGCAGCACTGACACATTAAACCAGGAAGAGGAGGAAACACCAGAAAACAACTTCCCTCATTTTATATCGAAATCAGACCTGGACCTCTCTGGACCAAGACCAGGCCGGGACCGGACCAGTCAGGACCAGGACTGGGCCAGGACTGGGCCAGGACTGGACCAGGATAGAAGACACCAAAATGTAAACATTTCAGCACAATCTGTCCAGCACGATCGACAGTTATATGAAACACTGTTCATATTAGAGAAACCCTTACATTGCATTAAAAAACGTTATCTTTTTGATCATTAGTATTTTTTGTCACTGAAATAATGCATTTCAGAGGCTCAAATCTCCAGAAGAGAAATGCAATCAAAAACCAATAACCTGCATAAGTCATGGAGCCAAAAGCTTGGAATCTGTGTGGACAGATGCTCCAGGGTCAGGAGCTACATCCTCTCTGACTCCTTGGCCTGGTTAGCCTGATGATTAGCCTGCAGTGAAAACCAGCAGGCTAATCAGCAGGCGAACCAGCAGGACCTGATTAGATTGAAATGCCATGAGAGATGGAGCAATACAGTTATCTTCCAAACGATGGACAGTTAAAGAGACTCACTGATGACTGGCCACATTCTTCATCGTCCAGAGCCGTGAAGCTGTCAGCTCAGACGGTTTCTGAGGTGTGTGAGCAGCTGTGGGTGCGGGACAGAGGAAAGTGCCCCAGGCAGGTGCCCCATTACTGAGGTACAGAGTGGGGTGTATACATAGGGGGGCAGGAATGACAAGCTGTGTCCAACTTACTGCCAATCAGCCAGAAACATAAAGACAGAGACAAGGCTTCCCATTGGCTGTGATGCACCCACTGTCCTTGGGGTGTCACAGGGAGCGCCCCGCCAAAATAATGCAGTCTGCATCTTTTCTTCATTTGCATTTGTCCTCCTCCGCTGTGGCACAGTGACTTTGGTCAACCTTATCTTTTGGGTTTACAATTTCTTATGCTTTTTCAAAGGAGGATTGGGTGAACTGGTGTGAACACATTAAACCAGAGCCAGTCTGAGTCCATCAAGAAGCACAAACCTGGAAGTTTTGTAGTTCATTAATTAACAAGCATCGTGATGAAAAGATAAGAATAAAAAATGTAGACAATTATTTAAGAATAATAATGGCCTACCGCTTGCTTTAGTATTTCGTGACTTTCTCTAAGAAGTATACATTCACATAAACACAAAAGCAGTTTATGTGACTCGCACCTAAAGTAAATATGCTGTAAATACGTTTCCTAAACAACACTCGAAAGGGATTTCAGAGTTAGAGCTTTTTGTGTCCAGTTAAACCCTGATGTCGCGTTTAGTAAAAGTCCAGTTGTAATAATCTCCATGTCCCATGATCCACCTGTGCTCCCGACTCTAAACATGTTTCATTGTCTTTTAATCTCATCCTCTTCACTGCTCACAGTAGTTCACACATGTGACTCACTGTGTGTGGCGTAGAACCACACAGTGAGTACGCAACACACATGAACACAGTCCAGTACACAACACACATGAACACAGTCGAGTACACAACACACATGAACACAGTCCAGTACACAACACACATGAACACAGTCGAGTACACAACACACATGAACACAGTCGAGTACACAACACACATGAACACAGTCCAGTACACAACACACATGAACACACTCGAGTACACAACACACATGAACACACTCCAGTACACAACACACATGAACACACTCGAGTACACAACACACATGAACAATGTCAACAACATTCCCAGCTCTGAGATCAAATGTGACATCACACTAAACAAACAAAGTGGGAAAAGCGTAGGCAGTGGCCACAGTAGGGTTCAGTAAGTTATTACGGTTTATCTCTCTCTGGAGCTCAGTGATCTGTGTGAGTCACATTCATGGGTTTGTTACTTTGATTCAAACACAGTTTAATAAGAACGTAATTTATTTTTAAATGATATAATCTTTACCTGGGTCTGGGTGTCATTTCAACAGTAGCTTAAAGGACAACTCACCCTCAAATACACTTTTTTTTGCTGATAAACGATTTAAATGAGTGTCCAATAATGTTGTCTACATATCCTGGTCATAATTTTGTCACTTTGGTGCAAATTAGTTGAAAGTTACTTTCTGCCTAAAACCGTCTGTGAGGCGCCATCTGCTGGCGACCTGTATTACTACATTTGAATTTTGAATCTGGCGCCAACACTGGCACAGAAGTTGGACCTGACGTCTGCAAGTTGGACCTGACGTCAGCAGCCCCCCGCCAGAGCTATATAAACGGCCCAGTCTTGTTCACGCCCCCTTCAGTCCTCCAGGCTACGCCCATTTAGACTCTAGAGGAAGATTTGAACAGGAAATGTGAGTGACGTAAGCTCCGAGGAGCGGGGGTGAGAACCACTTTAAAGAATGGTTTCTTGATCAGTCAGTCAGAGCACATGGTCTGTAGATGCACATGGTCTGTAGATGCACATGGTCTGTAGATGCACATGGTCTGTAGATGCACATGGTCTGTAGATGCACATGGTCTGTAGATGCACATGGTCTGTAGATGCTGAGAATGAACCCTCTGCAACTGCACCTCATGAAGATACAGTAGCGCTCCCACCAGGCTACGTCAGCACAAGGGAGTGTGTGTGTGTGTCTATAGGTGTGTGTGTGTGTGTGTATGTGTCTATGTGTGCTTGTGTGAATGTGTGTGTGCATGAGAGAGAGGAGGAGTCCTGGTGTCATTCCTCTGGCTGTCAGCCCCTCCCCCCTCTGTGAGATGTGGATGCTTCGCAGGGACAATTACCGCCTGACACTTCATCATGTGGCGCTCGACAGGCGCTGACGGCCCTCGTCCAAACAAATGATGCCGGGGTCGAGGTTGCGGGCCTGCCTCCGAGCCACGCCGCCGCCATAGTCTTGCCTGGCCTGCATTAGCCACCCCCAAACCCCCACCCCGCCAAAAGGCAACATAAAAAGACAGTCCTTCTGACCAACCACCTCCTACTTATAAGAAAAACACATTTATCAGCAGCTGAGGGGGAGATTGAGGGGCTTATGTATGAGCATGGGGGAAGGGGGGCTTACAGTACAGATTTCATCACCTAAAAGATCAACACAAAAACAATCTCCATGATGCACAACTAACTGAACTAACCAGACAACCGGGTTAGCAAGGGCTTGCAAGGGTTAGAAAAGGTTAGCAAGGGTTAGCTAGGTAAAAAGCTCTTAATGACACAAGAGTGAGTCTTGTGACACACATGACCCTACAGGACTGATTAGTGCTCCTGACAAACAGAATCCAGCCTCACTCTGGTCTTATGGATCCAGACCAGTGAGAAGTAGGTAAGCAGTATTCAATTATATAGTGATATTGTTGTGGCCATTTTTCCCTCTCACTCCACACATGGGAGCAGGGTTGCCATGCAGTCCATAATACTCAGACTTAGTGGATCCATAGGACTGAGTCCGGGCGGCATGGGTTTTTTTCTGTTCAAAACAACGTGATGCTGGGGGGCAGAGAGCAGAGCATCAGGATCACCAAAAGACAGCCTTTAGTTTGACGGCTAAATAAAGAGACGCTGAACCTGTTGCTGTCCTGCTTTTTCCTCTGTGAGCAAAACCCCTCAGCCCCTCCTCTTCTAACAGTCAAATGAATGCAATCTCTCAATAAAAATAGTCGATTAGTGCAAACATTATGGACCAAAATTGAGATTGAAAAAAAGAACATGATGTAATGTAAAAGCGCACAACATTTCTCTTTTAATATTGTCCAATGAGAGCTCAAACTCACACTCCAGCTCATTAAAGTGCCGCCTCAAATGCAAGAGCAAAGGTTTTTTATGACACGGCTGATGTCTGTCCTTGCCCTGTGTCCTGGACCTGTAAATTATTGAGCGGTCTGCGATCATAGCCGGGAATCTCAACCCACAACAAACAGGAGACATCGCGTTACTGAGGCTGAAACAACCTGTGGCAAAAGCTGAGCCTTCAAAAGACCCCCAAACCTCCTGCCCTCCCCCATCCTCCCGCCCCACTCCCCCATCCCCACTGCCACCAGAGAAGGCCCAGAGACAGTGCTAACACCTGAAACATTCATCGAAGTGCAGAGGCAGACTGCTAATACAGGTGCGGAGCAGGCAGCTACAGTAAACAGCTATTATCGCTAACTGCCACCTCACTTTGTAAAGGCCTTTTGCTTTTTTTATCTCTTTTCTCGTTCCTACGCGATTCTTTTATTGTCACGTCCTTGTCGTTTCTCCGCGTTTTCACAATTGGCGTCTTAACCGAGTTGATAAATGTGTTTGTGGCGGCTTCTCCTGTGCCAATGCCTTCCACAAGACTGCTGCTAAGATACATACAAGGAGTGTGAAGTGAAAGAAGGTTAAAGGAGGTTAAAGAAATGAAATAAATAAATAACAAAGGGGAGAAACTGGGGTAGGTCCAATCCAATTTGCGGACCAATGGCTCGCTTTGTATTAGAGTCCTCCGGGATAACTACTGTTGTGATTTAGAGCGATACAAATCTAGATTGAATTGAATTGAGGAAGACCCAGGTGTCATGGCAGAAACCAGGGCGAGTTCTTCCAATCTTTCAGTCAATAATGAGCCTGTGTACACATGTAGATAAACATATACTGTTTATTCATCTGACGACATGTGACAGTGTCCTATTCCAGGGCATGTTTGAAGGAAGTGCACAGTAGCAGAAGCAGCAGAGGTAAAGGCTGTAGATAATCCAATTTCTCATCTTGTTCGCCATTACTTGGACCACGAGACGGGGGCTAAAAGTGGAACGTGGACAAAGATGTTTTTACAGGATAAAAACTTTACCTTTCGAAGACATCGCGACATCGTCCCCAGCTCTGGAACACTCTCCCCCCTGACCTCCGTAACACCGACTCACTCACATTCTTCAAATCCACCTTAAAACTCATCTGTTTAGAGAAGCCTACTCACTAACATAACCACACTCTCCTCTGTCCATGATGCTTTTAACTTTAACTGTTTTTAAAATGCACTTTTTACTTGTATGTAAGGCGACCTTGAGTGTCAAGAAAGGCGCCTAAGAAATAAAATGTATTATTAAAAAAGACGAAATAGTAATGAAATGAAAGCTTGAAGCAGCTCAATGTAAGGCTCGTGCATTAGGTAACAGGATTGACTCACGGTGCTTAATAATGGCGTAATAGTTCTGTTTCTCAGAAAAGAGGTGGTGGTTTTGATAATGGCGACCAAAAAGGACATTTGATTTGCCACTCTATTATTGCTTTTGTGTATCTGCGACTGACTTTCACAGTAAATACATGACATATTAAAAAGCATCATATTTTTCAGATGCTAGCCGGTCTAAAGTACACCTGGCATTTGGTTTTCCTAAACGACCACTCATGACCACTCATGTCCACTCCGTCCATCAGATGGTAAAAACTCATTTCCTGTTGCTTCATCATTGCGCTGCCAGGATGTTTGTGCTGGTCCCTCCAAAGTGCAGGTGTGCTCCGGTTGTGCGTCCAGCAGACTGACCCACGGAGAATGACAAATGGCTTTAGCGGGGGGGCGTGTTTGACATTTAGGTTTCACGCAGTAATGGACGTTGACCTGTCGGGGTCAGTCCGCCGAGGCCGCCTCATGCCTGTAACCGGAGCCTGGCAAAACAGAGGCCGACACACACCATCAGTCACTCCGTCAGAGCGCGGGGAGACACCGGGACATCCCACAGTGGGACCTTATCAGTGGGTGTCATTGCTGAAAAGAGACACATGTGTTTGGAATGTGCTTTGGAGGGTCGCCACCGCGGAGCACAAGAGCCGCATGTACCTATGATAATAATAATAATGCATCGGTTTTACATGTCATTATTCTTTCACTCTTAACGCTAAAAGATGAAAACTCTAGATAAAAAAAGAGGAAATCTACAGCTATCCCAAAAAATTTTATACATTTACGCTATACCTCTTAGAAAATAGGGATTTATCTCGTAATGGAACCCACCAGAAAGTTATATTAATGTCATTTAAATTAAAAACATTACTCTTGTGTAAGCTATACTAGAGGGGATAGAAGTGCATTCCAAGAAACACTTTGTTAATTTTGTTTGAATACAAATTTACCCAAAGAATTATGACTCACGTGTTTTTATTGAAAACAAAATGATGAATAGCTTATTTCCTACTTTCATTAGAGCAAGGAACGGTGCATATTTGCAGATGTGTGGGGTCCAATAGACAAGATGTTTCCAGTTAGGCCGACGCTGATTTTGCATTTTAATATGTTGCACATTTTTATTTCACCGTTCAAATCTCTGAGAGCGTTTCAGTTTTACATTTGACTGCACTGTAAGCTCAGGGCAAGTGCAATAACATACTGCACTGTAAGCTCAGGGCAAGTGCAATAACATACTGCACTGTAGGCTCAGGACAAGTGCAATAACGTACTGCACTGTAAGCTCAGGGCAAGTGCAATAACATACTGCACTGTAAGCTCAGGACAAGTGCAATAACGTACTGCACTGTAAGCTCAGGGCAAGTGCAATAACATACTGCACTTTAAGCTCAGGGTAAGTGCAATAACATACTGCACTGTATGCTCAGGGCAAGTGCAATAACATACTGCACTGTAGGCTCAGGACAAGTGCAATAACGTACTGCACAGTAAGCTCAGGGCAAGTGCAATAACATACTGCACTGTAAGCTCAGGGCAAGTGCAATAACATACTGCACTGTAAGCTCAGGGCAAGTGCAATAACATACTGCACTTTAGGTTTAGGGTGCAATGACATACTGCACTTTAGGTTTAGGGTATGTGCAATAATCTACTACACTTTAGATTTAGGGTAAGTGCAATATAAAGACAGCACTGTATGCTCAGGGCAAGTGCAATAACATACTGCACTGTAGGCTCAGGACAAGTGCAATAACGTACTGCACTGTAAGCTCAGGGCAAGTGCAATAACATACTGCACTGTAAGCTCAGGGCAAGTGCAATAACATACTGCACTTTAGGTTTAGGGTGCAATAACATACTGCACTTAAGGTTTAGGGTATGTGCAATAATCTACTGCACTTTAGATTTAGGGTAAGTGCAATATAAAGACAGCACTGTAAGCTCAGGGCAAGTGCAATAACATACTGCACTTTAAGCTCAGGGCAAGTGCAATGACATACTGCACTGTAAGCTCAGGGCAAGTGCAATAACATACTGCACTTTAGATTTAGGGTAAGTGCAATATAAAGACTGTACTGTAGGCGTAGGGAAAGTGCATTAACGTACTGCATTTCAGGGTTAGGGTGAGTGCAATAACATACTGCACATTAGGTTTTCTGAAGTGCAAGATTGCGGGGTGCTGTTTATCAACCGTTGTTTTCCTCTGGTCCTAGAGGTCTCCGATGGTTCTCTTGACTGTGTCTATTTGAGTCTTTTTGAATTTTAAAGTTGAAAGTCTGCTGAGGTGTGTAAATGAAACTAGTATGTTATCTTCTCTCCTTTGTAGTTACCCCAAGTTTGTCTATTTAAGAACCTCCTTCATACGTTGTTTTCACTTCAAACATTACAGTGAACACCAGGCATGTCCAAACTCAGGCCCGAGAGCTGAATGCGGACCACTGTGTTCTTTCATGTGGTCCCTCTCCACAAACTAGCCATTAAGCTACTTTCACACAGTCATCCAGCCAACTCCAGCTCCACAAATATCTCCAAAGTCTAAGAATCGATTGAATATTTATATTTACCGACACATATATGGCAGTAATGCGGCTGGGGTATGAATCATTATGGACATATTATACCCCTCTTTGAAGCCCAAAACAGGCTAAATCCAGTCAAAACTGTTTTAAAATCCACGTTGTCGGTCCATGGACAAGTGTGGTCAGCTGAAGTGGCTCGCTTACTAAAAGGTTTTGGACACCCCCGGTCTATACGTCACGTTGGCAAAA